CACACACACACACACACACACACACATACAGTACGCTCATAAACACGTGCATTAATACATGCAGATGCAGTGACGTCCATTCATGATTTTGGCTAATTTGTGTGATTTTGCTTAGTTCCCGTGAGCATTATCACCTTTAGTTTCTGGATTTCTGTCAGTGTTAATCATGTCAAATTGACAGGACATTTCAGAGATGTTTACCATCAGAACTAACTATATCTAGTTGCAGTCTCGCATGCAATGATTCCCCAGACTGATTCACACAGACAGTTGCATGCTCTGGATTACGACCAGAAACTCACCCAGGATATTTTTTTAATCAGTCAGACTTTATTAAGCAGTCAGTACATGCAAATACATGCATTTAGGCATACGTCATATTATGTGTAATCTAGTCTTAAATCTATGCTCTAGCAGTGGCTGTCATCCTCTTATCATTTGAAATTACCTCACTTTTACTAGTCTATAAATTTGTAGGACTGTTTCGGTGATTTGTGTACAACAATTTGATAACCACTGCTCTACATATTTTTTAGGTATTTTTATCAAGCAGGCCACAGGATTTGTTGTCGTTGTCATTTACTATTTTGCGTCCTGTTGCTGAGTGTTTTTAGACACTAAACCACAGTAGGTGTAATTCCTCACCATTTTAGTCTTTGCTACCCTTGTGAAAAATAAGTGTTTATTTGTATTTAATGTGCATTTGTAGTGTACTTCAAATCTTAAAATATAATAATTTAAAAACCTGTACTTGGAGGAAATGTAATGTTAATGAAATAAAAGGCCACTTAAAGAGAGTATACTTTCATAACTGTTTCTTAACATGCTTTTTTTTTAAAGTGCACTTTGTAATAATGTGAAATAGAAAGTTTTACTTTAAAGTTTACTTTACATCATGTTTTAATATTTTGTCATGCTTTAAAGGGGTCATATGATAATGCTAAAAAGAACATTATTTTGTGTATTTGGTGTAATGCAATGTGTTTATGCGGTTTAAGGTAAAAAAAACATTATTTTCCACATACTGTACATTATTGTTTCTCCTCTATGCCCCGCCTTTCTGAAACTTGTCGATTTTTACAAAGCTCATCAGTCTGAAAAGCAAGGTGTGCTCTGATTGGCCAGCTATCCAGTGCGTTGTGATTGGCTGAATACGTTGCATTTTCTAGTCGTGTCCTCTTTTGGAAGGCCAAACAAAGTAGTTTCGCTTTCACAACGAAACAGCATCATACACCGCGGCCTTGAGTGAGCAGAGGCGGGCGGGCTTGAGAATGGCACGGCAGGCAGATTCGACAAAGGAGCGTCCGGCGGGCTTGCGGCAACCACATGTGACGACCCCAGGCTGGACTCCGCTTCGTCCACGGTGAAAGCCGTTCCGGCGATCCACAGCGCAAAGTTGATGTATTTCCTCAGCAACCAGCACGGATCAGCTCTAGGCATGACGAAGCGGATATCGTCCTCTTTTGGAAGACCAAACAAAGTAGTTTCACTTTCACAACGAAACACACAGCGCCTTCACGACATGGCGGCGGCAGCAACAATACTACAGCAAGAATAAAAGTTGCGTCACCTTTCTTTGCGTGAACATTTGGGCGGCGTTGTGCAAATCTTCCCACACAGTAACGTAGACATGTGGGGGCGTGTTAGAACGAGCCGTTTTAGGTAGGTGTGTCTGACTCTTAACTTTTATAAAGAATATCTCTTTGGATTTGAGACTTTAGTCTTTGCAACTTTACAGATCTTCTTTATGCACCAAGAGCTTGTAACACTCCAAAGAGAAAGGAAAAATTTAAATCGCATCATATGACCCCTTTAAAGAAGTACACTTATGTTGATGTGTTTGACTAACATTAAAGCACAAGTACTTGATAATTGATATCACTGATATTACATTACTAAATTGCAACTTTATCATTACAAATACATTTAAATAAATGATATACAAGCTTCAGTTACATTAAAATATATTTTAATTTTCCATAAATGCTTGTCAGTACATTCGGCAATACACTTTAATCATATTTCAAAGGCAATATGTTTGAAATTACATACAACAATGCATTTATATCCTACTTAAGTGGATCAAAAAACACTAACTGTAATGCATTTTCATTTAAGTGCAAATTATATGCAATTAAGTTTTCGAAAACATTCAGTTGACTGTGCATTCTTTAAAGGGGTCATATGATGCGACTTCAAGTTTTCCTTTCTCTTTGGAGTGTTACAAGCTCTTGGTGCATAAAGAAGATCTGTAAAGTTGCAAAGACTAAAGTCTCAAACCCAAAGAGATATTCTTTATAAAAGTTAAGACTCATTCACGCCCTCCTAAAATGCCTCGTTCAAACATGCCCCCACATGTCTACGTCACTGTGTGGGAAGATTTGCATAACGCCGCCCAAATGTTCACTCAAAGAAAGAAGGCGTAACTTTGATTCTCGCTGTAGTATTGTTGCTGCCGCTGCCATGTTGTGGAGATGCTGTGTGTTTTGTTGCGAAAGCGAAACTACTTTGTTTGGTCTTCCAAAAGAGGACACAACTAGAAATCAGCTTCGGCCGGACAGGGCATCACAATATGGTAAGGGGCGTAACATTTCCGTCACACGCTTGAGGAATTCAGCCAATCACAACGCACTGGATAGCTGGCCAATCAGAGCACGCCTCGCTTTTCAGACCAATGAGCTTTGTAAAAATTGACGCGTTTCAGAAAGGCAGGGCATAGAGGAGAAACAATAATGTACTGTATGTGGAAAATAATGTGATTTTTTTTTACCTTAAACCGCATAAACACATTTCATTACATCAAATACACGAAATAATGTTCTTTTTTAGCAACGTCATATGACACCTTTAAAAGCATATTATTTTTGTAAATACTCCTTTTATGTTAAGTATGCTAAAGTGTGCTTCATTTTTCACAAGTGTATTTATCTGTTTAGGCTGTAAAGTCTCCTTTTTAAGTAACATGACTAAAATGCTGGCTATTGTTAAATGGCATGGTGCCAAATGAAGACAGCGGCAGTAGAAAGTAGCTGGTCAGGTGAAGTGTTTTCCTTTTCAAGAGCATCTACACTTGTTAGTGCTGTTTGCCAAGTCTAGCATCACTAGTAGGCTACTATTGCTCATAGTGATTTGAACAAATGCTTGAAAACTGCAACATGTCATTCATCCTAAAGTAAGTCAAAACGAGAAGATGGAAACATCCGGCCCGGGGAAACGCAAATGTGCAGAAGGTCCAAAAGCTTGTGAAACGCTGCAGCCGAGCGGTCGTCTGTTTGCCATGAAGCCTCTTGGAGGATTATGGGAACAATTGAGCAAACAAACCCAGATGCCCCTGAATAAATGCCACGCGATGTGTCAAGACGGGCTCTGATAATTCAAGGGGTAACAACAAAAAAATAGGGCAGCAGCTTGAGGCTGGTGCAACAAGCAGAAACTGGGCCGGACGGACAACTTTGGACTTCTGTTGGCACTCTAAATAGTGCACTGCATTTATAGTCTATAACATGAAGCATGCAAATCCCTTCACACACTTACATGTAATCAGACTGGTTTAACTGTCTCTTTTGCAGCCAGCTGCGACCATGGCGGACCCTCCAACAGGCCCACCTGAGGATATCAACAAAATCAGCTTCTGGATGGTAAGAAAAAGGCTGTTCCAAAGCCTAGTGAGCTGCTTTCCTGTCTGGTCCCTACATAGGCAGCATCACAGCTGAGCTTGAACCTCAAAAGTGACTGATTTGGAACATTCCGCCACACAAAATAGCGATATAGACTCGATTCACAGCTTTCATAATTCTCAAGATCACCAGATAACGAATTAATAATGAAATAATTAATTACGAATTATACAACTACTGCTGTATAAGAGTGTATGTAGACTAGAGATTGCACTGATACTCAATTTCTCAGCCAATATTGTTATTCTGAATGATATCGGCCGGTACCAATAGTTTATATTTCTAAAGGAAAAAATCTCTTCCAACTAAAGCTGTAAAATATACAGGAAGCCATCCAATTTGTTACATGATATTAAATGTTAAAATGTTAAAATTAACAACAAAACTACTATTTTCAATGCTATTTATTTTCAGACATAATAATCACACTCAAATAAAACAAGGTAGTTTTCCTAAAAAAAAACTTTTTAAGATTTATTTAAATATATATAATTAACAGTAAATAAGCTCCCTGTGAGCTCTGGAAACTTTTCTGAGGTAAATGCAACGTTAAGTGACATAATGATCACAAGCCGTTCTTTCAATTGAATATATATATATAT